ATCGGGGAACCCCCCTTTGTTTCAAGGGATTTGCTGGGTGCTTTATGCAGAAAATTCGTCAGTCTTAATTTGAGTTCTTTAATATTTTTTTGTTCTGTAAATTTATTGCCTTCAATTATAGAGCTAGAGAAATTATTCCTTTGAGTTTTGCTTTTACCTTTGGCTTGTTCAATCTTTAAAGTATTTAAATAAAGAAATTTAATTTACATTTTTACCGTATATATTTAGCATATGTAACTTTTCTTCGAAATTTATTACTTACAATTTTATATTGTCTATTTTCTTTTTATCTTGACAGTCTAAATTATTTAAGGCTTTGATTAAAATACCACATTTACCTCTGACCATTCAGGGACATTAAACTTGAAATGGAATTCAGAAAAAACAACATAACGCTTGATTCCCGCAAGAATAAACCAATTTTGTAGTCAATCTCTTTTATTTATATTCGTAAATTTATTACCTCCAATCAATTCTGCTCGTGACAGCCTCAATTATTTAAAGTTTTGTTTAATTTCAAACGTTTTGCTTTGACCGTTTAAGGCATTTATGGCTATTAAAGTTTAAAAATGTTTCACTTGCAGTTGATTTGCATAAATATTTAAACTTGTTTAGCTTGCATAAGCATTTTTGGCTCTGACTTTTGCCACGAGAGTCCAGTTTTCCGGCTTCCAGCATCCTGTGGCTTCAGCCTGTATTTGTTTGGCACAAATTTTAAGTGATTTATGCTGGCCACAATTGGCTGCGTCTCGGTCAACTCCATGCCAATGAACGAAGCCATGAAAAATGCAGGAATATGTTATGCCCGAAAAGGATGCAACCCCTGTGCGGGTATCTCTCTATCAGAGCATGCATTCATATTTATTTGCCAACATTTACTTATGCTGCATTTGAGGCAATTTTGTTTGGCCAACTCAAAACTCAAAGGCAGAGAGAGTCCAGACAAAGTTGCAGCTATAGATTTGCCAGCAAATTGCGTTGCCACAAGGACGCACATGAGCTATCAGCCTTGCAAATTGGAGATGAGCGCGAGTCACGTGATAACAGATACTAATAACTAAAGAGAATACTTGCCACATCTGAAACATGTTCTTTTCACAGAATAACTCTCCGACTTACCAAACTATTTCTCAGTAAAAAGTTTAAAATCGAATACATTTTTTAATTAAAAGGTTCTAAATCATGACCCTCCAAGTATACATTTATTATGGATAGTAAATAACTTATCTCGTGACACGGAAACTATAAAAGATAATGACCAACTTTAATCCAAACATTTGAAAGTTTTGCATATCGACTTGGACCGGCCTTCTTTTGGCTCACTCGAGCACTTATTTATTTGATAATAATTTCAGGGTTTCTTCCAAAACAAACTATTTACGTTGGCATTTCTGGGGGGAAATGGTGCAGCGGGAACTCGGGGCGGTTGCCATATATATGTACATACTACATACTGGTGCTGGGAACTCGACTTGACCAAGGCGAGCCAACTCTTTTGTCTAAATAAATAATCAAAATGTCATAACAAGTGCAACGGGAGGCGGTGCCGGAGCTGCGGGCGGGAGAATGTATCTCATCTGCCAGGCATGTATCTGCAATGTTTATGCAAATTCCTGCCAGCCACTCCTGGCTCCGGCTCTGGCTTCATCTCCTTAAGGCCATCCGTGCTGTGCCGTGCTCCGTGCTTCGTGCTCCTGATTACGGATACGCACACGCAGCCAGGATCGACCTAACTCCCCCAGGATGCATCAGTGCAATATAAATATTTTACATAGATTTTACATAGCTGATTGAAGTCCGTGTGCATATGCTAAGCCATCCTCCACGCTGTGAAATTATCCTTTGCATGGCAATCATATCAAATCAAATTTAAAGTGCCCCAAACCAGGCACAGTGGGCTTTACACGTGTCCTTAAAGTTGCTTGACTAGCCTCCTTTGACTTAAAGAAAGGACTTTATTAATGGATTTATTAGTGCAGTTATAATTTGCATTACTGGCAGCCATATTTGTTGTTAATAATTAAAGTTGTTTCTGTATCTGTATCTGTATAGTTCAGCTTTCGGGTTTTCTGATAAAAGTAAAGCAAATTTTTCATAGATTATTTATATTTTGTTTAATTAGTTAATTAGCCATCAGTTTGTATAAAATAAATGATTTCAGTTTCCTTTTCTCTTTGTTTTCTAATGAACTTTTCTTTTATTCCTATAGTTTACTGTATACTACTATGTTCTTAATACTCTCTCTGTTATTTGTATGAATTATTTCATAGTTAAACAACTAACTAGTTTTCACCTTCAATTTCTGTTTTATACTTAACTTTTTAGGGCTGTATATTCTTCCCGTTTTTATATTCAATAAATCTAGTTTGAAGCCACATCCAAAACCCATCCATAGTTCGGACCAGCACTATGCTAATGTGGCTCAGCATTTGCATACAAAGGCGTAAGCCTAATTGAACCAGCTGTGATTGGAATGGCCCCACCACCTCCAACACCACCACCACCATCACCACCACCACCGAACCATGAATTTGTGTGGTGTGTGGGTGGGTGTTAAGGGTGATAAGGTGTTGGGGTGAGTCTTCGGGGCTAACCAATGCTGCGGGTGGGGAATTAGTGGTGACGGCGGTGCAATTAATAGCTAATTTAGAGTCGATGTTAAAAAGGCAACATTATTTATGATTATTTGTTTATTGCTTGCGGGTCGTTTGCCGCCTTCCACCTGAACAAATTAACACTCTGCCGTCCCTTCCGGAAAGTACTCACACTCCCACTGCCACCTCCTCACCCACAAGGACACTCACTCACACACACTCACATGCAGGGGAAAAGCCGCTGGCAGCATTTAGCTGCAATAGACAGCCATTTTGTGGTGTTGCCTCGGCGATAAAGTAATAGCTGCTATTTGGGTTTATGACACACACACACACATTCGCTGGGCAGGCTACATGTGTTTTTGGAGAATTTTCTCAGACACAGACACAGCCATAGATGCCTTTGTTGTGCTTTTCCACCAAGTTAAAAGCAGAAGCCGCTGCCAAAGGCAAAGCTGCAGATGGATGCACGGTAAAATATTGGGGGTTTCTTTATTGATTTTGATATAAAATTAATAATAGAGCCTATACGCCAATTATTTTGATTATAAATTATCTATAATTGATTTTTATAATACTACTAATACTAGTAATAGTAGTTTCAGTCGATGGAATACTTATTATATTAAGGACCTTGAAGGAATCATTTTAAGTCATAAGTTTATAATGTTTTTATTATTTGTTTTACATTTTCATTAATTAATCATTAATTCATTATCATTTAAATTATTAAAAAATATACTAATGAAGACCTTAAATTATAGTAAATAGATTCTTTGGAGGAACTTCAAAAATGCAAATTAGGTTAATCGGAGTATAAGGCAAGACAAACATGCACTTATAATTAGAAAAATAAGTAGCATATAGCCTAGTTTTTATACTACATTATTAATATTTAATAATATCAATTACATTTCTATTAAAATGCTTAACATATCAAAGTTATCTTAAGAAAAGAATAGATAATATCAATAAATTTTAGAGAAAACTTCGCATTATTTTTCAGTGTACAGCTAGAGGTGGCCCTTCTCATGAGCGGCGTGGGCGGGAAGGCGTGGCAGGCGAGGCGTCATTTTGTCTGCGGTTAGATGCGCGTACGTTTTCATGTTTTGTTCGTATTTCTTTTTGTGTGTACTTGCTCCCCGTTCTTTATGCTCTTGTTCTGCTTTATTTTTTTCTACTTTTGATTTTCCTATTTTGTGTTTTTTTTTTCCTCCCCCCCCATTTTTTTTTGTTTGTTACAGCGATTTTTCCATGTTGGTTTTTGGGCTGTTGCGCTGCCGTGTTTTCCGCGGACTCGCTGTTGTTGCGGTTGCAGCACGTCTGAATGTGTTTATGGCGCGCATATCCGCAAATATGCAATCAGACCATAATCTACTTAATGTCTTTTTCGCTCGCCCAGGACGAAAGGACGAACAAAATAGAAAAAAAAATGATGCGCATTGTGAATGAAGTAATGCATTTTGCCACATTTTGCCCATATTTCCCAGAGAATTCACACGTGCGTGCGACTGTTTATGCCATCCTATGTGCCCAAAGGCTGAGGACACGGCACATTAACCGAAATTAAGCTGTCACTTTTTAGGCATTCACGCATTAGCATCGAAAATTCGTTAAAAGTGCGTGTTTTCGTTCAAGTTTGGATCGTTTCATTATTTTTATGATTTCTGTTGCCTACTTTTTAGGGCCCACCGAAGCGTGCAAGACTTTGAAGTCCTCCTCGTCTGCACAAGGATATTGCAAGCCGACAGTGTGTTTGTACATTCCTGTGGGGAGCCAACTGTTGCCCCAACAAGGCAAAAAGTTTTAAATTGATAATTTAAATGGATATTAGGAATTTTAACTTGGAAATTATGGTATTATGTTTAGGTTTAAAAATCGTAAAAACCTTTCAGGGAATTAGCTGCAGCTTAGAGAATATATTTAACCCATTTTTAAACTGTATTCCTTATAATATCAAAACTCCCTCATTTTTCTTGAATTCTCCCAACCTTTTAGCTAATTTTAAAGACAAGTCGCGATGGGGGAACACACGGAAACAAAACGCGGCCAAAACAAAAAGACGCTGGCAAAATATTTTGCCGCAGACAACATTAGATATTGTTTTGAGCCGTGCAGACATGGGCGTCTGGCACTTTAGTTTTAGTTTCTGTTGCCGTAGCTGTTGCTGGCTCCAGCTTCTTATTGTTATTGTGAAAGTCGGAGCATGGAACTGGGAGCTGGCAACTCGCAGCCCCAAACAACTGTCTTGTCCTGGGCCTGGGACTGGGCTTGGTTCGTTATTGTTGACTTGGCACACAATGCGGCCATAAAAAGCTGGCAAAAGCAGCGGCAAACAATTGGGACAATAAAACGGCTTTAAGACACAGCACTGCACTTTCGAGAGCAGACCGCAGATAAAGGCAATTAAAGGAACTTTGGTTTACTAGAGCTCTGTATCTAAATCTAAATCGGATTTGCGAGGGGAAATTGCAATTGAATCAGCAATACAATTCTCCTCACGTGGCATTGAACAAGCCCTTGACTGTCTCGTCGGTGATGTCGATGGCCAGATCGTAGTATCCTAATCGCCGCAGCAATCGTTCCTTGTCCTCGGGCACGCCGTAGATGTCCTCGATGGGCATCATGATCTCCGACTCGTTGGGCAGGATCAACTTGCGGGCATCCTTGCGGAACAGAGCCACCGCTTTGACCATATTCGTGTGCGCCCTGGCCAGGTGTTGCAGAGTGAGTGTCTTCCGCTTGGCCGATAACTTTGACTGGATCCTGTCCAAGCGGGAAATCAGGGTGAGCAGTATGTAGCGGGAGTACCGATCCTTGATCTCCAGCAATGACATCTCGCCTAGAAATGTTTGAATTAGAGAATATATTTTATTTATATCCTTCAATCTCACCGCCATCCTCTATCGGCGGATGCATGTAAAAGTTCAGGATAATGGACACAAAGATCGTGTTGATGGCGAAAATTATTAGCAGCATCGCCAGCTGAAAGTAATCGACATCCTCCGAGAAGGTCTCCGCTAAGTGCTTCCAGTACATGAGGTCGCTGTTGTGGACCTTCCACTGGTAGTGCAGATAGCCGGTCACAAGGATTCCCAGTCCGCTGTAGATCGCAATGATGGGGTAGTTCACGGTGAAGTATTCGTGCGACTGCATTCGTAGCATATACCAGGATTCCATCCTAACCGCGATCGGGTTCTGCCTTGGCTGGGGATCCGAAGGGGGTCGTCGGTTTACCTAATTTTACCCAATTTTGAAGAGTTGGTTCCGAAAAGTAGAGCTCTATTTGAGTCTTATAGCGGGTCTACTCAGTTGGTAAAGGAGTATACATACTTAGAGTTTTTTTATTTTCTTTTATTTATTTCAAAACGTTCCCTACTAAAGATTTGAGTTAAATTTCGAGTGGCAAACTTGTGTATAAGAGTTATTTCAAAGCTTTACAAATGGAAACCCCAGTTTTGTGGATTTCAAACATGCTTGGGAGTTGCAGCTGGGAGGGCCAACATGTTGAGCTTCATAGGTTTGAGCTTTTGACTTTTGTTGGCTGCAAAGCTTGAGTGACTTTTCCATAGGCTTAACACTCACTCTTCCACTTCCCCTTCAACATCGAACCGCGACAGGTGTGGGACCGCCCACAACTGCAACGGCAACCGCAACATCCAGCTCCTTAAAGTCTACGAATTTATTATTATTTGTTAAATACTAAGTTTTTCTTGTTATTATTATTATATTTTTTTTTTTGGTAGCCCAAGGCTACCCTTGCTATCTTGGCTAAATTTTGCTTGCACCCTCGACCGCAACCCAAACGATTTGAGACGCTGATAAGCTGGGGTAAAAAGCGAGCAAAGAATTCGTAGCATACTTCTGAACGCAATGCAATTTCGCCATTTTCCGTGTCCACGTTTTTTTGTGTGTGTTTTTCGTGTTCCTTTTTTTCGGTTCCGTTGCTGGCTTCTTTTCGCTGTGCACTTATTATTGTCTCTTTTGCGTTGACTTTTTTGCGCCAAAGGGGCCAAAGTGCATGCAAAACTGCATTTTGTAGACAAGCCGAAAACCGAAAACTGCCAGCCAAAACGGAAATATTCAAAAATTGTTGTAGTTGTAGTCAGTTGTGGGTGCGGGTGTGAGTGTGGGTGGGCGATGCAGGTTAAGGGGGGCAGGGGTGCGCCTCTGTGTGAGTGTGTGCGCGCTAATAAAAACGTAAAATTTAATGGTTACGGAAGGCACTAAAAAACAGGCTCACCGACAGCACCCAACTCGTTGTTGCTGCCCCAGACGCGGTACACTGAGCGAAAAATCTAGTGAGGGGAGTTGAAAATCATATCACATTGACTTCTTTATTTAAATCATTAAGTTTTGGCAAGTAATTATAGGGTTTAATATAATTTGGAGGTACTTTTTGACATGTAATTAGTAGTAATTCTTTTTTTTTTGAAGTAATTTGAGTTTAAATATATATTTTGATCCTGCCAATATACCAATTATTCTATTTAATACTTTGTAATTGAAATGTATTTCAATTAAATAAATTTAATTTAATTAAATCATTTTGTAGGTTCCCACATTTTGCCTAAAATGATTTTTTAAATTTTGTGGCATTATATTTTATACCTTTTTAAGTAATTTTTTTAGAATCCGCCATTTAAAAAATATTAAACTGATTTCCCCTAAGGAGATAGATAATTTCTCCAAGTGCATCTGTATTTGCTGCTGCAGTAGCGGTGGGGCAGTGGTGTTGGCAGTGGTCTTTGGTTGTGTGAGTAGTGGCGCTGGCGATAACCAAGCAACGAACCACAACCGCACCAAGAACCAAGGAGCAAGGAGCAGGAAACAGGGAGCAGGAAGCAGCGAGCAGCGAGCAGGGAGCAGGGAGCTTGGGGGTAACCAGTCGATGGGCAAAACTGTAACTACGCCAACCGCCGCCGTCCTTGCCGTTCTACTCCTGTTTCTGGGACTGCTCCTCTTTTCCTGACCCCGCTCCTGCTGCAGCTCCTTGCTCCTGCTTCTGCCGCCGACGCAGTGGAGCGCCCATCCGTGCACGTCAAACGCAGACAACTTGAAAAATGTAGAGACAGCGCCGCAGTATAGTTGAAACACGCCAAAAAATATGCAAAAGTAAAATAAAACAGACACGGGGGACGGCAGACAGACAAACGCATTTGGGGCCAGCAGAATGGCGGAATGGCAGAGGAAACTGGCGGAAAGCAGGCCGAAACCCAGCCAGGAAGAGCCAGCGGCCAACAGCCAACAGCCAACAAGCAACTACCAACTATAAACAGCCGCCCAACGTTCGACAGTCGAGGGTCGAGGTTCGACATTTGCCGTTAAAGGTTTTTCGTTGTTGCTGTTTATACTCGATGTACTCATCTTGGCCAGAAGTATCGAGGTATTACAGGGTATCGAGGGGTATATTATGACAGTGGATAATTGAAACTCTGAAAGTGTTAGTCTTGGGTTAAAAAATACTATAATTGCTTAAATTAGTGCATAACAGGAAATACAATTTGATTTGAATTATTTAATATTCTGACACTACAAGTTTTGTTTGTATCTCAATAAATAGTATATTACAACTTATTTTAAGAATTTTAAGTCATTATAATAGTGTCAAAATAAAACAAAGTGAGATGTGTACCTTAACAAAGTTATGTGTCAAGATAACTATTTTAGATTTTCTTGGATATTAAAATACTATATACTTTAAGTTCTTTGATTTTTATAAGCTGGAAAAAATATACATACATATAAAAAAAATAAAACTTATATGTATTCATTTAAATTTTCAATAAAAAAAGGATATAACTATAAAACTGTCTTTATTGTTGACTCCTAACTTTTCTTTAAAAGTAAAATGATATTTTCTTTCGATTTCTAAGATTAAGCGAATTTTTATTACCTAAGTTTAAGTTTAAGTTTAAGAATATTTAAAACATAAAATCTCTCTGGTATTTACTGCTTTAGATACTTTTACTTGGATACTTTGCTTTTCTATATCTGCCAGCCAGCCATTCGTAAGGAGTGTCCTTGTCCATTCAGTATTTAGGAGTCCTTGCTGTGCCTTGCTGTTGCTGGTGACTTTTAGTTTCCTTTTTTATTTGTATTTGGCAGCGCATTGCACAATATTTTGCAGCAGGCAGTTTTTGCCCAGTTGGATTTCTTTCACCAAGAGAGAGGGGAGCAGATCCCTGACGTTGTCCACTTGACAGCAGCAGCAGCAGCAGGAGTAGCAGCAGGAGGAGCAGTAGTGGGAACAGGACCAACAGTTGTGGCAACGGGAACTGGAACTGGAGTTGAAAAGTCAGTTGTCGCTGGGAGCGAAAGTTATGCTGAATTCGGAGAGGTGTGAGGGTGCGTACGTGTGGCATGCATCGGGACACTCGCTCGTTTGTGTGGCAAAGGACTCGTAACTGAATGGACAGCAATTTGCGCGGCTAAACGAGTAGACAAAGGAGGATCCTCCTGCTGCAGGACTCATCCCTCCCTCTCACCCCCTCCGCGTTTGGCCACTGCTACTGTAATTAGGTTTGTCGCTGACCAAACGCAAATGGCACCGAATCGAGTCAAAGTCACCGCGACTGGCCCAAAGTATGCTGTAAATAATTCACAATTGCGCGCCACATTCGAATTTCGCACTCGCACTCGCATCAGGGAGCTCGTCCTCGTCCCCGCTCCCCCCCATTGGCGGAAATGTTTGCCTTGTTTACAGCGCAGTGCATAAATTTGCAATTGCACGCATTCGCCATCGCATACAGATACAAGTGCAATGGTGCGTGCCTTTCCGCAGGGGCGCACCGGGCAAGGAGAGGGGTCTGTGAACGGGGCCGGGTACCGGTGCCGGTGCCGGGGCAGGGAAAGGGAAGGGCAGTCAAATTAGGTCTACTCCCGGACAAAAGTCCGACAGCAAATTTTCGTAGCTAACAGCATTTTCAAGTTTTATCGTTACGTGGGAGCTGAGAGAGAGAGAGAGAGAGAGAGCGGGCGTATGTAGGTAGCTCTGCGATTTGGGGGTTGCAGTCAGCGGTGCTCGTCGGTGTCCTTGGCACAGGCATTGTATTATGCTCCGTCCGTCCAGTCGTCGCCCATCGCACGCATAGACACTCGGCGAAAACTTGGCCAGGGTTATGTTATTTTCAGCATTTTACGGACTCTTGAAAATCTGTGTTATATTCACAATAATGAGGCCTAAGAAACATATACGTATATTGAGCATTTCTTAGAAACTAAACTTATATATTCAGCGAGAAAGGAAGTAATAAATATAAATACATTATTACCCTGTAAAAATTTTATTATAAAGATATATGTTTTTACACATTAAGTTTGTTTACATCCATCTTGTTTACACCCGCTTTCAGAGACTCGTCTGAGATGGTTTGACAAGTCTCGAACAATTCTCGACTGTAGCTTTCTTACTTCTTTTACTGAAATAAATTTGTATCCTTTCAGGATATATTAATTTTAGTTAGAAGCTTGTAACGCTGTAAAGAAGGCATTTCCGACCATTATACAAATTATATACATTCTTGATCTTCGAAAGAACAAAATTTTAAAACTAAGTATGCAGATTTATAAATTTAATAAAAAATAACAAAGAAAAGATTTTCGAATTTAATTAATGCTTTTTCTGGCAAAGTCGTGAGTTTGTTAAACTTGGTTTTCCAAACAAATTTTCCAAAAAAAATATCCCTCAGAATAGAATGAAATGCGATTATTTTAATCTAAGTTATGATCGAATTCAGATTCGTTCCTAGAATTTAATTGCAAACTGCACGGGAATATAAACTTTGAGTTCCCGAAGTTAGTTTCGTTTCTTGTTTCATTTAAATTTTGTTTCTAAAATTATTATTAACATAAACATAAATTTATATTTTTAAAATTAAGTAATACACGAAAATAAAAATCCTTTATTTTGTGCACTCGGGTTTGAAATTTAAAACAATTTTTAATACGCTAGGATAGTCTACATAACATACATTTGTTTTCAAATACAAGCTGATAAGCAATAAAATAAAGTTTCTAATGCTTTTTTGTAAATGTACAGCTGCTAACGCGAGCACGGACCTCGCCTAGCCTTGTCTATTTAGCCGCCTGCATACAAAATGCACATAAATTGTCCTGTTCCTGGAGCTGGGAAGGACGAGGGGCCAAACGGAGGCGGAGATGGCAAAGGACGAGGGAGCCATGGGGGTAGTGGTGGCTCCATGGCCATGTGCCGAGCATATTTATATTGATTTTCGCGCCTGGGATTGGCATTTGGGGGCCATGGCATGCGTCGGGCCGCCAGCTTGTTGTTATGTACTTTGGCTTTTCAATTTCGGCTCGTTTTCCTCGTTTGCTCGCCCATTCACATCTCTCTCCTATTTTC